GAACAAAAGGTACAATGATCACAACCTAGCAAGAGTAAACATGCAGGTATATATATATAGAGATCACAGTACAAACAGACTCAAGAAGTAAGCAAGTGAGGTCCAGTAGGCACAAGGCCTAGAAGAGTGCAAAAGCGCTGATGGTCACAAGGCTGAAGCGCCTTGGTGAGCACATCAGCAGTGTTGGCCTCGGAGGCCACGTAACGCAGACGAAGCTGACCACGCTGCTGCACCTCTCGAGCAAGAAAGTAGCGCAGAGCAATGTGCTTCGTTCTGTGCTCCAGTCTGTGCTCCTGACACAAGGCAATGGCTGCCTTGTTGTCGACGTACAGCACTGGAGGAGAACGAGGCCGCTCTCCAAGGTCGGTCAGCAAGTAGGTGAGCCAGCGTAGCTCCTGGGCCACCATGGCTGTGGCGTAGATCTCAGCCTCACAACTGGAGCTGAGAACAGAAGAAGAGCGAGTAGAACGCCAAGAAACTGAACCAGAGCCAAGACTGAAGGTGTAACCCTGAGACGACCGCTGAGTAGCCTGGTCGTCTGCCCAAGAAGCGTCTGAGTGCCCAGTGAGAACAACTGGGACTCGCCCTCCAAGCGCTAGCCCCATGCCCGACGTACTGCACAAGTAGAGCAACACCCTCTTAGCTGCATCCATGTGCTCCTTCCGGTGACGGCCGGGAGGGACATAGCGTGCAAGAATGCTAAGAGGGTATGCAAGGTCAGGTCGAGCTGATGCGCAGCGTACCGGACCGCAAACGGCCACAGAAAGTGGGGGGCAGCCGCATGGATCAAGGAGGTACGGGCGACCTCCATGACCAGGCCAATGCGGCGCTCCGCAACCCCATTCTGCTGTGGAGAGGCCGGAAGCGTGAACGACTGCTCAATGCCGTGCTCAGCACAGTAGGCTGCCAAGAGGTTGGAGGAGAACTCACCACCTCTGTCAGAGTGCAAGCGCAGGACAGGAAAGTCCGAGTGGAAACGCTCGCTGAGCTAGAGACGGGCTCTGCGGATCCAAGGGATCAAGACATCAAGGACCTCACCCTTGGTGCGCAAGGGGAAGACCGAGGTGTAGCGCGAGTAGTCGTCAACAACTATCAGGAAGTACCTCTCCTAACCCTGACCACGGACGCGGGCTGGGCCCCACACGTCCATGTGGAGCGTCTGCAAGGGAGCAGTCGTCGGGGGAAACGAGGAGGAGTGAGGAGCGGCGCGCTGCCGTCCCTCAACACAAGGGAGACAGGTAGGAGCAGGTGAGGGAGGGAGGGGAGGAAGGACCCTGGGAAGGCCAGAGACAAGGTACCGGGAGTGCATGGCACGAAGCCGCTGCACAGACGGGTGGCCAAGGCGGTGGTGCCAGAGGACAGTCTCGTGCGCCAGAGAGCGACACGAGCAGGGGGCCGACAGCTGACCTGACGCGGACGCAGACGCAGACGCAGCAACCTGAGGGGACTCAGTAGTCAGTGTGTACAGGTCCGACCCCGGCTGCCGAGTGAAGGTAGCCAAGTGACGGCCCGTACGAGCACACGTACAGTGTGTCACGCGCTCGTAGGCAGGGGTGAACTGGTGAACACCCCCGTCCTAGAGCGCACATCCTGCCACCAAGTTCGTAGAGAATGAGGGGAGGTGGAGACCTGACAGTGTGCCCGATGGGACCGCAGGACAGGGAAGGACAGTGGAAGAGGTCGCAATGACCGGACCCCCAGAGGGGTCAGCAAGGGAGACAGCAACTGGCCGAGCAAGCGGCTCAAGGGCAGTGCGGTCACGAAAGAAGCAGCGAGAAGCACCTGAGTCTAGTGTGAAGGTGTGCAGTGCTGCAGTCGACTCAGTACCAAGGGGGGCAGACGCACAAGCACCTAGAGCAGCTGCCTCACCAGCACCTGGGGTAGCAGACACGCGAGTAGTTGGAGCGGCAGACGCACTAGTCCTAATGCCCGGGTCGGGCGGCACACACAGGTACTCAGCACCCTCTCCACTAGTAGACATCACATACATAGCAGTGAGAATAGCATCAAAGTCTAGAGCATAGATATCAATCCCCTTCTTCAGGAGATCAATCCAGCGGGGCAGCTCAGTGGCCTGAGGGAACTGAACACGCCAAGCGTCGTTGAGACGAGCGAAGCAGCGCTGTGTGGCGTGCGGTCGTCCACACTGCTGACCAGTGCGGTCACCAGTGCGAATGACGTACGTGCAGCTAAGGCCACCCCCCCCCCCCCCCCCCCCCCCATGTAGAGAGTACCACTCACGGACCTCCTGGGGCGACGGAGTGTGCTGCTGGCCCTGGCCACCGCCAGCGCCTCCACGACCACCACCGTCGCCGCCACCCCCTCGACTACCCCAACCCCAGCCGCCGCCTCGTCCACCGCCACCCCCACCACCGCCTCCGCCCCTGCCACCTCCCCCGCCGCTGCCGCCACCACCCCCACCGCTGCCACTAGCCCCTCCAGTCGCGCCACCACCCCCACCGCTGCCACTAGCCCCTCCAGTCGCGCCACCACCCCCACCGCCTCCACCGCCCCCACCACCGCCTCCCCCGCCGTCATCGCCACCACCCTTGCCCCCTTTGCCCTTGCCGCTGCGGCGCCCGCTCGAAGCAGACGCAGTACCGACCTTCTCAGCACCAAGGAGGTCGACAGCAGCAGCAGAGGCGACAGAGGGAAGAAGGGGGGAAGGAGAACACCCCTCAAAGAACGGGGTACGGGGGTCGCCACGAGAGGCACCTACAGCGACTATGCTAGTCTCAGCTGCAAGCAGTTCCTTCTCGAGGAGGGCAATGGTGAGCTCAGTGGGGCAGCGAGCTAGGAAGTGGTCCCTGACAGCACGCAGTGTGTCAGGGAGGCGGGTGACTAGGTGGTAGAGAGTGAGCCAGAGTGGGGGGGGGTGAGTGGCAAGGAACTCAGCGGGCATGGCGGCACGGAAGCGGGCCTCACTAGTACGGAGGTGCGTGATGAGGTCAGCGACTGTGTGGAACGAGGCCAGGTCAGGAAATAGGTAGGGGAGGGAGAGACGGCCTAGCGCGGCAGAGGCAGGTGAGGAGTAGCGAGCAACGACAGCTGTGTACAGTGCCTGTGCAGTCTTGTGCTGGCCAAAGTGCTCGCGTTCGTCTATCGGCAGGGAGTTGCGAATAGCGAAGCGAGCGTGGGCATCACGAGTCTGCCACTGTGAGCGGGCAGTGCTGTCAGCAGTAGCAGCAGGGGCAGTGACATGGCCTAGGGCGTGGTCGTACAGTGAGATGTCGTCCTTGGCTGTTAGCTGTAGATAGAGGTGCAGGTCATCTAGCTAGGTGTCAAACTTCACTGGGCGACCCTCAGCATCGAAAACTAGAACCTGTGGGCTAGCCATAGGAGCAGTAGAAGTAGCAGCAGTAGGAGGAGGATGAAGCAGGTAGGGCGGCTCGGTTCAGTTAGGGCGGCGCGGCTCGGGTGGGGCGGCGCGGTTCGGGTCGGGTCGCGCGGCTCGGCTTGGGTCGCGCGGCTCGGTTCGGGTCGCGCGGCTTGGTTCGGTCCCGGGCTGTGGCGGTCACGGGCCGCTCGGGGCCTCTAGGGGCGAGCGCGGGGCCGTTTGGGGCCTGTAGGGGCGGTGGGCGCGGGGCCGACGGGGCCGTTCGGGGCCTCTAGGGAGGTGAGCGCGGGGCCTTAAAGGGGCCTCTAAGGGCCGACGGGGTCGTTCGGGGCCTCTAGGGAGGTGAGCGCGGGGCCGTAAAGGGGCCTCTAGGGGCCGACGGGGCCGTTCGGGGCCTCTAGGGAGGTGAGCGCGGGGCCGACGGGGCCGTAAGGGGCCTCCAGGGAGGTGAGCGCGGGGTCGACGGGGCCGTTCGGGGCCTCTAGGGAGGTGAGCGCGGGGCCGACGGGGCCTCTAAGCGATCGCGGGGCCGAAAGGGGCCGCTAGGGGCGAGCGCGTGGGCCGTTCGGGGCCTCTAGGGGCGAGCGCGGGGCTGTAAAGGGGCGAGCGCGGGGCCGTAAGGGGCAAACGCGTGGGCCGACGGGGCCTTAAGGGGCGGGTCGCGGGTCGCCGGGCCTTAGAGGGCCGTGAAAACCGAGGCGCCCTAGGGCGCAGGTAGGTAGGTAGGTAGGTGGTGGTGGGCCCTGAAAAAATCGGTCCTAGGAAGGACCTGCTCTATACCATGTTGAAATGAACGAACAGGAATGATTTGACTAACAGTGAAATCAGTACAAGTATCTAACCCTAGAATTGTGTACCCCCCATAGGCTAACCCACTGTAGCCTAAACAAGCACAACAACATATATAATGTTTGACATTAAGGTGTCAAACGAGTACAGAATGTGAGCGAAAGCATGAGCGAACATTTATACACGAAACATGCAAACGGTAACTAGGTGCGTGCGAGCTAGCTAGTGCTACGCTGGCAGCGAGGCTCGGGCTAGTCCCGAAGCGTAGGCCGACACGGCCGGGCCAGCAGTGCGAGGTTTGGTGAAACAGTGCGCGCGAAGTCGGCGAAGCCCCGTTAGCAGTAACAGGCGAACAACGGCTGTTGCTGTACGCGATGTTGCAGGGCGCGCTAAGGAATATCGAGAAAATATACAATAGCAAGCACCATGGTCTGAGGTAGATGGTGATTTTTTCTGCATATTTTGATGAAAGGTAACATAAAATATATCGATGATCAAATCACCTCATATTCAAGTACAGAATGTATGCTCAGCTGAGCTGCGGGTGAGTTTTCTAGCACCACAAAATACATCAAGTGGTTCTGCTGCCAAGTATAGCGAAACCCGGAGCACCAAAATCGCGTATTTACAACATAGCTTTTTGTCCAACTTTTTCAAATGTGTAGTTGTGTTGAAGGCTAGGGCAGCCGAATCGCAGTATCCTAGTCGTTCTTTCTGGCTAGCAGGAATACCAGTCACAGAAGCTGAAACAAGACTAATTCGAGTCTTAAATCCACAAAGAGACCTCTCAGGAATCCAGCACGCTGTACTCAGCCTAAATTCTCCCTTGGGTCTCTGAGTCTCCGTAAGAATCTAGGGGCGTGAGGGATTAGGCATGTCTGCTTCGGCACAGCATAACGTCAGCAGTAGGCGGCCCGATGCCCCGCCGGCGGCTTCCCCACTGGCGGCTTCCCCCGGCGTGCAGTTTCCGCCAGCGGCGCAGCCGGAGGTGATGCGCGCCGCGGAGAAGGACGAGCTGTACGCGGCGTCGCTGGGCGACATGTGTCACGACGCCATTGCCTCGCAGCTCGGCCACCGCGTCGCGGGCCAATGGGGCGGTCCGATCCGCGTGGCGGCGCGGTGTCTCTACTATCTCGTGACCACCGGCGCCGGCAGCAGGACTCTAGGGGAGGAGTACTGCGACATAGTGCAGGTGAGGTGATGTCTCTCTGTTGAGGCGCCTCAAACGTGGACTCTAGGGGAAGGGAGTACTGCGACATAGTGCAGGTGATGCTTCTGAGTCGACTCAAAAGTCACCTCATATTAGTGCAGGTGATGCTTCTGAGTCGACTCAAAAGTCACCTCATATTAGTGCAGGTGATGCTTCTGAGTCGACTCAAAAGTCACCTCATATTAGTGCAGGTGAGGTGATGTCTCTCTGTTGAGGCGCCTCAAACGTGGACTCTAGGCGAAGAGTACTGCGATATCCTGCAGGTGATGCTTCTCATGCCGCTGCTGTTCCTCCCTCCTCCTCTCCTCCCAGCACCCCCTCCCCTCTCATGCCGGTCTTGTTGAGACAACCTTGCTTCACTCCGCAGTGGCAGCTCACATCACATCTGCCCCATCTCTATCTCCAATCTCCACTCACCCACCGCTCGCCGCCTCTCCCTCGTGCCTCTGCACTCCCTCCTTCCGGCTGTAGCAGCTCACGTCACATCTATCCCCTCCCTATCTCCATTCTTCCTTCCCTTTCTCCCGCCCTTCCCAGGTACCAGGCCGCTACAACCTGCGCCCCACCCTTGCGCGTCGCCTTTTTCTCGTGCTGCTGCACTCCCTGCTCCCCCGGCTGTGCCAGCTCACACCAGCGCCCGTTTGTCCCCTCTCCGCCATCCCCCCCTCTCCGCCATCCCCCCCTCTCCGCCATCCCCCGCCCTTCTCGGGTATCAGGCAGGCAGCTACAACCATGGCCCTTCCCATCTGTCGTGGCTGTAGCAGCTACAACCATGGCCCTTCCCATCTGTCGTGGCTGTAGCAGCTACAACCATGGCCCTTCCCATCTGTCGTGGCTGTAGCAGCTACAACCATGGCCCTTCCCATCTGTCGTGGCTGTAGCAGCTACAACCATGGCCCTTCCCATCTATCGTGGCTGTAGCAGCTCACATCGCCACCCATCTGCCCTTTTCCACACCCATCCCCCCTTCCACACCCATTCCCTTCCCCTTTTTCCACACCCATCCCCCTTTTTCCACACCCATCCCCCCTTTTCCACACCCATTCCCTTCCCCTTTTTCCACACCCATCCCCCTTTTTCCACACCCATCCCCCCTTTTCCACACCCATTCCCTTCCCCTTTTTCCACACCCATCCCCCTTTTTCCACACCCATCCCCCCTTTTCCACACCCATTCCCTTCCCCTTTTTCCACACCCATCCCCCTTTTTCCACACCCATCCCCCCTTTTTCCACACCCATCCCCCACTCCAGGTGTCAGGTCGCTACAACCTTCCCCCCGTCACATCAGCACCTGCAATGTTACCCCGTTCCCACGTCCATCCCCCTTCCTTCCCCTCCCCTCCCAGGTGTCAGGTGCTTACAACTTGCCACCTGCCCCAGCGCGTCGCCTCTCTCTTGTGCTGCTGCATGCGCTGCTCCCGGCTGTAGCAGCTCACATCAGCGCCCGCGCTGCTGCCCGGGGAAGGGCGCTCGCAGCAGCAGGGGAAGGGGGAGCAGGGGAGGGGGGAGTAGGGGCGGGGGGAGTAGGGGCGGGGGGAGTAGGGGCGGGGGGAGTAGGGGCGGGGGGAGTAGGCGAGGGGGGCACAGGGGGGACAACAGGCGGAGGGGGGAGAGGAGGAGTAGGGAATGGAACAACACTTGCAGGGGCGGAGGAGGAGGCACCTCACAGCCACACATCCAGCCTTAGGGCGAGAGAGGAGGGCGCAATAGAGGGGGTTTCAGTAGAGGGAGGAGGCGTGGAAGCAGCACGTGTGAGCGGTGGAAGGGGGTTGGGATGGGTGGCAGCTGTGGCGACAGAATGGCACTGGGTGGGCTGTGTGAGGGAGCGAGTGAGGGAGAGAGTGTGGGAGATGGGGAGGAGGGCGCTGGTGGTGTGGGCGGGGGTGGCAGTGCGAGGGGGGGATGTGTTGATGCTGCTGGGGAGGGCGCATCTGCTGCTCTTCTACTGGCACGGGTCGTACCTGCATGTAGCCAAGCGGGTGAAAGGCGTGCGATACATTTACACTGCCCAACCTCCTGCTTACTCCCCCAGGTTCGTGTGGCTGGCAGGTTTGTGTGGTTGGCAGGTTCGTGTGGTTGGCAGGTTCACGTGCCACGGTGCTAGCCACTCATTCTGACTTCTGAGTTGACTCAAAAGTCAGGTTGGCAGGTTCGCGTGCCACGGTGCTAGCCACCCATTCCCCTCCCATTCCATTCCACCCGTGCCCTCAGCTCCTTCATCACACCCGTGCCACCGCTCTCACCCATGCCATGGCAGGTACCACATGCTCGCCTTGTTCCTCTTCATCCCCCTCAGCATCCTTTTGAGACGTCTCGAAAGTCATCCCCCTCAGCATCCTTTTTAGACGCTTCAGAAGTCATCCCCCTCGGCATCCTCTCCTGCTGCCCCATGTCCTTCCCATTATCCCATGTCCCCATGCCATGCATCTCCCCTTCCCACCCATCTCGTGCCCTCTCTCTCCCCCATCCTCCTCCCCCTCCCACCCACGGCAGATATCACATGCTCGCATTCTTCCTCTTCATTCAGCTCGCGATTCTCTCCTCTGATTGGCTGCGCCGCTCTCTGCTGCAACACAGACCCCTGGCGCATACCATACCGCCACCACCCACAGGTGAGGCATGACATGACTCGAGGCATGAATTGAGGCATGATGTGAGGCATGAAGTGAGGCATGAAGTGAGGCATGAAGTGAGGCATGAAGTGAGGCATGATGTGAGGCATGAAGTGAGGCATGCTCCCTGTGCCGATTTTTGAGGCGCCTCAAAAATGCTCCCTGTGCCTTGCTGCTCGCTCCCACCCCACCTGCTCCCACCCCACCTGCTCTCATCTCCTCCTGGTATGCTCGACATCTCCTCCTCGTCTTACTCCCCTTCTTCCTCATATCTTTTCTCTCTCTCTTCCCGCTACCACCCCACCTGCTGCCCCTGCGGTCACATCTCCTCCTGGTGTGCCCAACCCTTCTCGTCTTCTCTTCTTCTTCCACGTGATAAAAGATTGATTTTGAGACGTCTCAATACCGCCCCACCTGCTGCCCCTGCAGTCACATCTCCTGGTATGCCCAACTCTTCTCGTCTTCTCTTCTTCTTCCCCACCCATCGTCAGCCCCACTGGCAGCTGCCGATGCTCCACCTGAGTCCAGCAACGGGTGGGGCGAGGAGACGGAGGCGTCTCAAGAAGCTCAAGGGGGTGAAGTGGAGGGGGAGGAGGAGAGCGAGGCTAGTGGTCGGTGCTCCCTGTGCCTTGCCCCATCCTATCCCATCCCATCCCATCCCATCCCATCCCCCCATACAAAACCCATCGTCAGCCCCACTGGCAGCCGCTGATGCTCCACCAGAGTCCAGCAAGGGGTGGGGCGAGGAGACGGAGGGGTCTCAACAGTTTCAAGAGGGTGAAGTGGAGGGGGAGGCAGGGAGTGAGGCGAGCGGACGGTGCTCCCTGTGCCTTGCGTCTCGCTCCCACCCCACCTGCTGCCCATGCGGTCACATCTTCTGCTGGTATGCCTGTTGCTCTATTCCGTTTCTTCCACCTTCCCATCTTGTTTACCACTCTTCCCTCCACCACCGCACCCCACCTGCTGTCCTCGCGGCCACATCTTCTGCTTGTATGCCTGTTGCTCTACTCCCCACCCACCCGGCTTGCTGCCCTAATGGCCATCCCTCTCTTCTGCTAGTACAACGAATGCTCATCATCGTCTCTTCTTCGTCCTCCCTCTCCTTCTCCCTCTCCTCTCCTCCTCCTTAACTTCCTTCCCTCTCCTCCCAGGGGGTGCATAGCAGAGTGGTGCAACGAGAAGCACGAGTGTCCTCTTTGCCGCTCTGCCTTTCCTCACCCCCGTCTCACGACGTGTTCCATGCCACCGCCACCTAATTTCTCTCTCTTTTCTCCCTCCATTCCATCTGCCTCTCCGCTCCTCCCAGGGGGTGCATAGCAGAGTGGTGCAATGAGAAGCCCGAGTGTCCTCTCTGCCGCTCTCCCTTTCCTCACCCCCGTCTCATGACGTGCCTTTTCTATTTTCTCCCTCCATTCCATCTACCTTCCCGCTGCTGCCAGGGGGTGCATTGCAGAGTGGTGCAATGAGAAGCCCGAGTGTCCTCTCTGCCGCTCGCCAGCCCCGCACTCCTCCCTCGTTCCACTCCACCATGCTTCCTTCTAAGGGTTCTAAGGGCCTACATGATCGTGAACGTGGTTGCATATGATCGTGCAGGTTTCAGGTGCAGCACTGTTCCAACCTGGTGCCAACCTGGTGCCAACCTGGTGCTTGGCATCTGCTTTTGAGTCGACTCAATTACATGATCGTGAACGTGGTTGCACATGATCGTGCAGGTTTCAGGTGCAGCACTGTTCCAACCTGGTGCTGAGACATCTGCATCGCACAGAACCGTTTGGATGGACAGAATGACAGATTTTTTTCTTTCTTTGGTCTTTTAAGCTGTGGCTAGATTCAGGGGCGCAGCACTGTACATTATATTTTCCCCAAGGGTACGTTACAATGTACAGTATACCACGATGAATATTTTGCACAGGCTGCTTGAGCTATTCTGTGTACACTCTCATTTGTATTTTGGTACAAGAATGGTGTAACAAACAAGTGATGCATGGGTGGGCTCGTTTAAACCACAAGAAACAGAAATATAACTGAATGACTAATCTGCTAAATGACTACAGTATGATTGCACTTTACTAGGCCTCTCAACGTGTTTACTCGGCTTGGAAACACATTGCCTCACTGGCAATCTTCCAAAGAACTTGTGAAAAGCTCCTCCTCTCCTCCCTCCCCAGCATCCATGCATATGGTACTCGGCTTACGGACACGCCCATGTAAGTGGTGACGAGTCAATCTGCAAGGGGGTTGTGTTGTGTGCAGGGGGAAAGGGCGGAAGGGGGGCATGAAACAGGGAGACAGTCACACATGGTAACAAGGAGGAGGCGTTTGAGTCGACTCAAAGGTACTCGGCTTACGGACACGCCCATGTAAGTGGCGACGAGTCAATCTGCAAGGGGGTTGTGTTGTGTGCAGGGGGAAGGGGCGGAAGGGGGGCATGAAACAGGGAGACAGTCACACATGGTAACAAGGAGGAGGCGTTTGAGTCGACTCAAAGGTACGCGGCTTACGGACACGCCCATGTAAGTGGCGACGAGTCAATCTGCAAGGGGGTTGTGTTGTATGCAAGGGGGAAGGGGGGGAAGGGGCGGAAGCGGGGGAAGGGGCGGAAGGGGGGCATGAAACAGGGAGACAGTCACACATGAAAGAGCGAACACCAGGAGGACACTTTGTGTTCGCTCTTTCCTAGGCCAGTAGGTGTCGTATGTACCCTCAGACCAAAACAATATAATTAGTAGTGAGTCAACTCTATAGACGGACATGCATACCAGAGTGTTGTGGCTAGCAGCCGCCTGACCGCTGCTCCTGGTGGGTGTCAAATCGAGAGTGCTGCTGCCTCCGCCGCTGCTGCTGTGCCTGGTGGGTTCAGCTCGAGCCCAAGGGAAGAAGAACGAACGTGGCGTATACGAGGCTGAGCACGGCTCAAGAGGCGAGGCAAGTGGTGGTGCTGCTGATGATGCTGATTGTGGTGGGTGCCGTGGGGATGGTACTGCAGATTGTACAGCAGGTGCTGCTGCAGGGGATGACGAGCTCACAGCTGCAGCAGAAGGTTCTGAAGGCCCGCTGGACGGTTTTCCAGCAGCAATAGGTGGCCGGGTAGCAGTGAGGCGCACGTACTTGTGCCGATTCCACTCCGCATGCTCCCTCCACCACGCCTCCTCCCCCACCCCACCTCCCGCTCCCGCCCCCCTTTCCCCTCCCCCTCCCGCTCCTCCTGCTCCATCTTCTACTGCCGCTGCCCCAGCCCCTCCGCTTCCCCCTGCCGCTCCTCCCCCGGCCCCGCCCCCTGCGAGTCCCAGCATCTGCCGGCGCATGTCACGGCGCACGATGTGGTGGAAGAGGTAGAAGTGGCCCGTGCTCAGCAGCCCGCTGTTCAGGCTGCTCACATCAACTGTATCAAAGGCTTTGTGCCCGCAGCACAGGAGGAAGTCATCGGAACCTCGACCTGCACGCACCTGCAAGGGTTGGGGAGACAGGAAAGACGGGTGAAGGAGGGAAGGAGGGCAAGAGATGGTGGAAGAGGTATAAGTGGCCCGTGCTGAGCAGCCCGCTATTCAGGCTGCTCACATCAACTGTATCGAACGCCTTATGTCCGCAGCACAGGAGGAAATCGTCTGAGCCCCGCCCTGCACGGACCTGAGGGGGGGCAATTGGGAGGAGGGAAGGAGGGAAGGAAGGAAGCAGAGAAGGAGGGAAGCAGGGAAGGAGGGAAAGCGATGGTGGAAGAGGTAGGAGTGCCCCGTGCTGAGCAGCCCGCTATTCAGGTTGCTCACGTGTACCGTGTTAAAAGCCCTGTGCCCGCAGCACACAAGGAAATCGTCTGAGCCCCAGCCTGCACGCACCTGCAGAATGGGGAATAATGGCGCCCGTTGCCACGATGCTCAGGTTTGAAAAGGCTCCAACACGGCATAGCGTGAATCAGCTTCGAATCGACCAAGAGCTTCGAGTATGCATAGCGTTTTGACATTTCTAGAGGAAAAAGAAAAGGATGAAAGAACATGAGCGTGTTTTGCACGCCCATACCTCGTGAGCACAGTGCTTCTTGCTTGGCGGCGTACCTTGGGAATACCGGCGTCCATGAATTCGGAGAGCAGCAGAGCAATGTCGTTGCGAGCCGTGAACAGATGTATGTGCGCGTTCTCCCGCACTGCTGGCTGTGTGCTGCTGCGCTCTCCTGTCCCTGTCCCTCTAGACCCACTGGTTTCTGCTGCTGCAACTGCTGCTCCTGGTGCTTCGCTTGCTCCTCTTGCTCCGCCTCTTGCTGATGCTACTGATGGCAGTGGCCTGACCGCTGATTCTGTTGGCCTTTCTGCACCTGGGAACGGAACCGCAGCTCTACCTACACCTACACCTTCTCTTGACCTAGATTCTTCACTGCTGTGCGGAGAATCTACACTGCGAGACACAGAATCTACACGTCTGGACGCAAGATTCTCTTGCCCGCGGGAACCATCAGGCATAGACCTCCCCGTCTCACACTCTCCTTCAGTAGAAACAAATGAGCTATCGACACATGCTCCTCCTGTTCTCGCTGCTGATTCATGAGCTGCTGCTTCAGGCACGCTTGAACCTTTGAGGGGATGTTGTCTTGTCTCTTCAGATGAGTTAGAAGCACTGCCAGTCCTGCTTCTTCCCAACCTATGCTCAGCCTCGTTACCTCCTGCTTCTCTGGTTTGGAAAACAGGCTCGGATGCACCTCCGAAACTCTCTGGTTCGGAGGCTCCAAGGCCTGGCACAGCCTTGGCAGACCCATAGCCACCAGGTTCGGCAAGGCCTGGCGGGTGGAATATCTCGCTCCAAACCTCCATCAGCCCCTTTTCCCGAACCTCCTGCCAAGCCTGCCGTAGCGTAACCCAACCTGAGTTGCATTCCCCAGCCACGTTCCACACGTCTGCAATCCTCTCTATCATGGAATCGTGACTGCGTGCATTTAAGTCATACGTGGAGGAGGAAGGTGAGGAGGCAGGGGCAGAGGATGCTGCGGAGGAAGGAGCGGGGGAAGGAGTTGCTAAGGAAGGTGTGGAGGAAGTTGGGGAAGAGGGGGAATATGAAGTGTGGGATGATGAGGGGGAGAGAGGCGAGGAAGGAGAGGAAGGAGAGGAAGGAGAGGAAGGAGAGGATGGCAATGGCAACACCACAGGCGCTGCCTGCACGTGCTGGGCTTGCTGGTGAGAGTTCAACGGGTGCCTGACATCCCAAGCCCCACGGCCCGTTTCCCCCTCCTCTGCCCCTCTTTCCAACGCACCCCCAGCAGACCTCTCTTTTTCCTCCGCCTCCCCGTCCCACGCAATCCCCGGGAACTTGAATTTCCGTATGACAGAAGAAAAAGAGTGAGCAGCGACGTCAGGAGCCATGAAGTAGATGTGGGAGGTTACGCCGGTGGAGGCGTGGAAGGGGTCCAGGTGCGACGGGGAGACTGACGACAGGCGGAGGGCCTCTAATAGTGTGCGCGCGCCCATGCTGTATGCCATCACGTGCACCGCTTTAGCTCCCACTTCTCTAGACAGCATCTGCAGCAAATCCTGTGGGCAGCGAGGAAGGGGGAAGGGGTATGAATGAGTCCTGTGGGCAGGGAAGCGAAGGATGAGGGGGGGTTGGTTGGGGATCATGCGCGCGCCCATGCTGTACGCTATCACATGCACGGCCTTTGCTCCTAGTTCTCTAGACAGCATCTGGAGGACATCCTGTGGGTTTGCGAGGCAGAGGATGGGAGGGAAGGGATGTGGGGTGAGAGTGCTTACAGGCATGAGTGTGTGCGCGCACGCCCATGCTGTATGGCATCACATGCACGCCCATGCTGTATGGCATCACATGCACGCCCATGCTGTATGGCATCACATGCACGCCCATGCTGTATGGCATCACATGCACGCCCATGCTGTATGGCATCACATGCACGCCCATGCTGTATGGCATCACATGCACGCCCATGCTGTATGGCATCACATGCACGCCCATGCTGTATGGCATCACGTGCACGCCCATGCTGTATGGCATCACATGCACGCCCATGCTGTATGGCATCACATGCACGCCCATGCTGTATGGCATCACATGCACGCCCATGCTGTATGGCATCACATGCACGCCCATGCTGTATGGCATCACATGCACGCCCATGCTGTATGGCATCACGTGCACGCCCATGCTGTATGGCATCACATGCACGCCCATGCTGTATGGCATCACGTGCACGCCCATGCTGTATGGCATCACGTGCACGGCTTTCGCTCTCAGCTCGACTGAGAGCATTTCAATGTGTGAGAGCATGCAGGTCGTGTGGGAAGGGGGGGAAATGGGAGGGAAAAGGGTGCAGGCAGGACGCACCCTTTCAACCCCCCCCAGCCAGCCCCACCAACGCAGATGGCCATGGCTTGAGACACCTGAAAAATCGAGTTTTGAGTCAACTCAAAAGTCGACTAATCACACACAGATGGCCATGGCTTGAGACACCTGAAAAGCCCTAACAACCTACATGGCTTGAACGTGACTACAAAACAAAGCCCACTCACCCTGAGGTCAGGAGCGGCCTGCATGCATGTGATCTCGTCCTGGCGGTACAGGCTGATCACCCCCAACCCCACCGACACGGACGGCCGCCCCACCGTCGGCCAGCTGTACACCACCATGGGCCCGTTGAAGTCGAGACCACGCTGGGAGGGGGAGAGAGAGGGGGGCAGGAGGGTTGGGGAAGGAAGGATCAGCCTAATACAGGTGCGGGTATACTGCAGGCTGTACACCACCATGGCCCAGCTGTACACCACCATGGCCCAGCTGTACACCACCATGGCCCAGCTGTACACCACCATGGGTCCGTTGAAGTCGAGACCACGCTGGGAGGGGAGGGAGAGGGAGCAACGGGGCGAGGGGATTGGGACACAGATACAAGTATACACACCAATGGCCAGCCCAGCACTCGCCCCACCGTGGCCCAGCACATTGCAGTCTGTACATCACCATGGGGCCATTGAAGTCCAGGCCTCGCTGAGAGGGAGATGGGAAATGCAAGAGAAGCGGGAACGGCCCATGGAGGGTTGAAGTCGTTGAATCACAGGGCAATCACTCTCTCAGCTTGTTGGTTGCCCCACCGTGGGCCAGCTGTGTGCGTGATCGTGGCCCAAGGTGGGTGGGGCGACAGACAAGGTGAGAGTGATCCATGATGATGGGATAATTGAGGAGCATGTTTCATAATCATAGTGGGGTCACACAATGGGCCACACTCGCTAAGTGTGGGCGGGGCGGGTTGAAGGCGAGAAGGGCTCAAATTCGTACCTGCATGAATGCTCCGTAGCCCATGCCCCGGCTGAAATCAGTGAAGCAGCTGCAGGGGGGGGGAACACAACAAAACGGTCACAACACAACACGGAAAGTGCAGAGAGGAATGGGTAAGGCAGAAAAGGAGGAAACTAGTGTAGGATCCGCACATGGACATGCAGACGACTTTGATACAATACAACAAGAGATGAGTGTTAAGGCAATTGACATACCCACGCACTATACCCACGCACATACCCATGCACAAACCCATGCACACAAATACCCATACACTTACATACCCATGCACAAACATACCGATACACTTACATACCCATGCCCATACATACCCATGCACATACATATCCATGCACATACATACCCATGCACATACATACCCACGCACAAACTTACCCATACATATACCCATGCACATATCATGCTCATCCCCCCGCCCCCCCTTCATAGATACCCATCCACATACCCATGCACATATCATTTTCATCCCCCCCCCCCTCCTCTCTCCCCGCATACATACCCATGCACGTAAACAAGCACTGCCTTGTTCTCATCGCGGGCCACATGCTCTCTCAGCCGCTGCTTGAATGCCTCCGAGTCCATACTCGTTACAAGCTGCCCTTCTGGCTTCACTTGAGGCTTGCCATTAGGACAGTCCACCTGCAATTACAAACAAAACGAGGATAATTTTGTTCCTAATCCAAGCAATACACTCCCATGCTGTCGATGGGGGCGCCGGAACATCCTACCATACAATCACTCCTACCCACCCACCACGCCCACATGCATGCCATGCCGTGCCACTGTCCACGAGCTTGCCATACACCTTGCCCATCTTCCCATCCCCCCCCTCCCCTGTTTCGAAGGAAGCCAGAAATATGTAACGTTCACGTCCACCACAACAACATGCTGCCCACATTTGACTGTGGAAACACCAAGATGTCTTGCAGGCCACATCCACCACGCCCACGTGCAGGCCACTGTCCACGTGTCTGCCATACACCTTGCCCATCTTCTCATCCTCTCTCTGTAAACCACAGCAGCACCACTCACATCCACCACGCCCTTTGCAAGCCACTGTCCATGTGTTTGCCGTACACCTTGCGTTTCATCCTCCCATCCCCTTTCCCTTTCAAGGGAAGCCAGCATTGATTGTATAACTCACATCCACCACGCCAACGTGCAGGCCACTGTTCATGTGCTTGCCGTACACCTTGCCCATCTTCTCATCCTCACCCCATCTCACAGGGAGTCAGAACAGTCCCCTACTAACAAAGCACCAGAACAGTCCATCACTCACTCACATCCACCACGCCAACGTGCAGGCCACTGTCCATGTGCTTGCCGTACACCTTGCCCATCTTCTCATCCTCACCCCATCTCACAGGGAGTCAGAACAGTCCCCCACTAACAAAGCACCAGAGCAGTCCATCACTCACATCCACCACGCCAACGTGCAGCCCACTGTCCATGTGCTTGGCGTACACCTTGCCCATCTTCTCGTCCTCCCTCTCGCACACCCGATTCGTAACGTAGTACACCTGAGAATGGGACAAGAAGCAAGGCAGGAGGCAGGAAGGAAGTCAGTACATTGGGCTAAGAGCCTTACATCCCGCCCACTCCCGCTCATCCTTGGTTCGCAGCACCAGAAGAATCATACGCGCATCGGCTTACCTGATGCGACTCAGCAGCAAGCTCAGCGTTCCCTTGAGACTTATCCTTCAACCCCAGAATCTCCCGCCATCCGAACCCCACCATATCCTGCTCCTCCTTGGGCCGCAGCACCACGTCTCTCGGCTTCGCCAGCGACGAAACAGCCTCCGCGAACCGGCGACTGGTAACCAGGCACCAGAAGCCGCAATCGCTAGCCGTTGATCCGACCGGTCCGCCATCCGCCATCTTGCGACGCCTGCTCTGTCTCCGTCAACCTTAGTTTCCCGTCAGCTCTCGTTATCCCGCAGCTCTCACTCTCTGTCGGCCGTCCGCTGCTTTCGCGCTCGGCAAGAACCTGGGCCAATCAGGTTCCTTCACAAGTTTCGGAATACCTCAAAACTTGGAGGACCTGACTCTTATGGTTGGACGAGCGAATTCCTTTGGAAATTCGTCGATCCCCACTTGCAATCAATCGGGATCAGTCGTCCCCACCTGCTGCACCCCTTCCCAATCTGCTAGCTTTTCGTCAACTAGTAGTGGATTCAACCGCTAATTACCGTTAAAGACCGTGAATTGTCATCCCTTGACGTCGAATCACTTTCACTAAACACCATCTCGCACTACAACCAGTCACCCAAACCATCCACCCTGATTCCAGCTTCGGCTGGTGCGAAACAGCGTGCCTCAACAGGCTTTGCGAAGTTCCCAAGGTCGAAGCGATCGCAACAAGCAGGAACGTAATGGGGGACCCGTCTCGTCAGCTGCCAGCACAGACCAGGCATTGTGTTCTCCCAATCTCAAGGTTCAAGATGATCTTCACCAGGGGATATTTTTGGGCCAGTCTTGAAAGCTCACAGTGAAGTGGGACGTGCGTGTCGCTTACTCAATTGAAGAAGAGGCAACTTCGAAGTTGACAACCCAGACTTTGCCGCGCATTTCTAATTAAATATAATGTAAAATTTTATAATGAAATAGTCTCAACATGGGGGTGTAGCTCACATGGTAGAGCGATCGCTTCGCATGCGATAGGTAAGGGGATCGATACCCCTCACCTCCACTCTTGTGTGCACACTTTTTGGTGGTTTTCCTTTTGCACGAGAAACCGCCATATCGATATATATTTCAGTCAGAATCCATTCGACTCCCGTTGCGGCGCGTGCGTAATACGCTGCTGCTTTTTTTTCATTCGCTGCTGCTTTTTTTCATTCGCTGCTGCTTTTTTTTTCATTCGCTGCTGCTTTTTTTTCATTCGCTGCTGCTTTTTTTTCATTCGCTGCTCGGTCGTGTGGCCCATCATGTCGTTTTGTTTTGAGCGAACGTCGCCGTCATTCATGTAGTCGCCTCCTGCGACCCTGTCCATTCCGGCATGTGGCTGGGTCCTCCTCATCTGGGTTATCCTCGTTTGTATCAAATTCGCTATTCGCCATGAGGATTTCTAGGTCGCCGTGGGCGACCTTCGCCCTGGGAGCTGCTGCCGGCTCGTGCGCCGCGCTTTGCGCTTGGAAGCTCTATTCCGTCTACTCTGCCGACGAGCCGCCTGAAATCACGTTAGTAGCGGCTTTGGGACATCAAACGTTTGTTCCAGTCGACTTGTTATGGCAGTCTCGCTGGTTTGCTGTTCCTAAATCTTTAAAGCCAATTGCAACTCAGTGCGATTTGTTGTGCCTGGCGGTTCATTGTCGCATCCCATCCGTCGATCCTATCAGTCGCATTTCTCACCGCGTGAGTTCTGCGGATTGTGGTATGACATGAATGACTCCCATCCGTGAGTTGAGTCGACTCAAATGTCACCTCAGTCCTGCACGTCGTCCTTCCGCACTTCAGAGAAATGGGAAAGGATTTCGGGTTCTCCCGTTCTTTTTCCCCTACCCAATTTTTCCTTTCCTCCCGCCTTTCTTTCCCCTTCCCAGGTGTAACGACGGCCATGCAGGTCTGGTGTCTTTAGGTGCAGAAGGCGAGGAGCAGGAGAAGCAGCATCACGAGCAGCACCTGAAACCACCTGAAGAAACACCTGAAGCAGTCTCAGTTCCTGCTGCCACAGGAATGTCTCGTCCTCCTGAGTCGCAGCACGGTGCTACTAGCAGTCAGGAACCTTCTGGTGGGGGGGAGACACGTGGCAGTGGCGGATTGGATGGCCAGGATCTTGCCAGCCTGGCAGCGGCTGATGATGACATCATCGTGGAGCAATTCACCAGGCACGCGTTTTAAACCCCTTTCGTTATAAGAACGCTTATTTCTGTTTCTGAGCTCTTTCTGTCCACCATCTAAGCTCAATTCTCAAGCTATTCCACTTCTCTTGCTTAAAATAACTTCCTGTTTTTTACTTCACTGCCCTCTCTCCCCTCAACCATACTCTCTTTCCGCTAGTCTCTTCCCCCTCCAACTTCCCCCCCCCCCCCCCCCCCCGCCTCCCTCCCTTCCTTTCCCCCTTCTTCCCCCACTTACCGTCCTCACTGACCGTCCTTCACCTTTCCCCTTCCTCTCACTGCTGCCGGGCAGGAACATTCAAATGTTTGGTCTGCCCGGCCAGCTGGCAGTGCACCGGGCGTTTGTGGTGGTGGTGGGGCTGGGGGGAGTAGGCAGCCATGCTGCTGCTGCTCTGCTGAGATGCGGGGTTGGCCGGCTGAGACTCGTCGACTTTGACCAGGTGCGTTGGCTTTGGTTGACTTGGGTTGACTCTGGTTGACTGGGATGGACTGGGTAGCGTTTGTGGTGGTGGTGGGGCTGGGGGGAGTAGGCAGCCATGCTGCTGCTGCGCTGCTAAGATGCGGTGTTGGCCGGCTGAGACTCGTCGACTTTGACCAGGTACTGTTGACCCTGTTGACTTGGGTTGACTCTGGTTGACCGGGATTGACTGGACGGTGTTTGCGGTGGTGGTGGGGCTGGGGGAGGTGGGGAGCCATGCTGCTGCCATGCTGCTGAGATGCGGGGTTGGCCTACTGAGACTCGTTGACTTATACCAGGTACTGGGTCCCTCCATTGACCCTGTTGACTCTGTTGACTCGAGTTGACTGTGATTGACCGAGTGGCGTTTGTGGTCATGATGATGGGGCTGGGGGGAATGAGCAGACATGCTGCTGCTACTGCCCTGCTAAGATGTGGCGTTGGATGGCTGAGACTCGTCGACTTTGACCAGGTACTGTTGATCTCCATTGACCCTGTTGACTCTGCTGCTTGGGTTGACTCACAATGTCTCGAATTGACAGCCTGTTGCTGCCACGCTGGCTCAGTGAATGAGAGAGCATGTCCCCCCTCTCCTCCTCTTCCCCCCTCCTCTCCCCCCACCCTCCCCAACTTTCTTTACTCAACAGGTGTCGTCAGGAATAAACAGGTGGGCTGCGGAGGTCTAATGTCCATCAACTCAAACTGTTACTTAGGACAAGGAAGCAAACTCAACAGGTGTCACTATCCTCGCTTAATCGCCATACTGTTGCCACACGGGCAGACGTGGGTATTTCCAAGGCGCAGTGAATGAGGGAGCGTTTCCTCCTCCCCTCTGCCTCACCTCCTTTTTCCCCCAACTGTTATCCCACAGGTGTTGCTGTCATCTCTCAATCGCCATGCTGTTGCCACGTGGGCAGATGCTGGAAATTCCAAGGCACAGTGCATGAAATATTTCCCCTCTTTCTTCTCCCCCTTCTCCTGCTTTGCCTCCTCATTGAACAGGTGTCGCTGTCATCGCTCAATCGCCATGCTGTCGCCACGCGGGCAGATGTTGGGATCTCCAAGGCGCAGTGCATGAGAGAGCATTTCCTTCGCATTCTGCCCGAAGCGCAAGTGGAGGGGATGACAGCCATGTATACGGAGGAGAACGAGGAGAAAGTTCTGTCCGGGCAGCCCGACTACATTGTTGACTGCATCGACAATATCGACACAAAGGTTCGAATCAAATCAAATCAAATCTGATAGAAGCAAACAAATTTGAAATGGTTCCGCAGCTGCTGCATGCATGCGTGTTTGGCGATGCACACGAAATCATGGGACAACCAACGGACGGAGTAAAGCAAAAGCAAAGCTGCACGCAGCTACCTCGCGAGAATTCTGAGCGGGTTTTGAGCAATAGCAACCCCATTGCATCAACGCCCCTAACACACTACTTCTTTTCTCGCCCTCCTCATCACAGGTCGCTCTGCTCTCAGCCTGTGTGCGCCGCGGTCTGCCTGTCATCAGCGCCATGGGGGCAGGTGCTCGCGCGGACCCCACTCGCATTCGGATTGCTGACATCAGCGAGTCATCCATCGACCCTCTCTCGCGTGCGGTGAGGCAACTACCCCTCCATCCACCCACCCACCCACCCCTTCATAGCGAATTCTGGCAAATATGCTTCTATTTTTTTCTCTCTGTGTGTAACTGAGTGTGTCGATGAACCTCTGTGCTTGCTGTGCCATCAGCGAGCTGTCGTCCGTCGACCCGCTCTCTCCCGTGCGGTGCTGTCGACACATTCATCCACCCACCAGGTGTACTACAATATGTTTGTATGTGCGCGCATACATTTTTTTATTTATGTATGTATATGTGTGTATATACATATACATATATATGTATACATATGTGTATAGGCACACATACACATTCAAGCATGCATACATATTCTTGTATACATATACATGAGTGTGCGTGTGGGAGCTCTCGGGTTGACCCGTCCCGTCCGGGTCGCATACCCAGTCAAATGACAGGGTTACCCGACCAGTTCTCTGCTTAGGGTACAATTTGGAGAGGGGGAGAACATCAGTTGGTTTTGATGTTTTGTTTCCCTCGACATTCAGATCCAGTCTCTAATCAAGTTAGTAAATCTCCACTGCACCTACCAAAGCTCTTACAGTCTTCACTTCAATGTTAGCACTATTTTAATATTTATATTCATTATAGGCATAGGCGCTCCTGCCATTACGCAGTGTCGCACGACCAGGGGCGCAGCAGCGCAATCGCGGCCACGCATTGGCAGGATCGCATCCCCGCAATAGCGCGATAGCGGCCTTGCAGTAGCGCGAACGCCACCAGCCAGAATCGCGGTCCCCACCTCCAGCATCGCGAACGCCACCTGGAGCAGCGCCAAGGCGCCACCATACCCTGCTGCTATGTAGCATATTTTGATCCGACCCGAC